AATTGAAAACTCAAATTGGTGAACTGAACAAAATCTTAAGCCCTATTTATTTCACCGATTCGAGTTTAGAATTCAAGTTTTACTAAAGTAAAAAACTATCAGAAATAGTCTTATTTAACTTTTTATTATAATAAAATGAGTTTAGAATTCAAGTTTTACTACAGTAAAAAACTATCAGAAATAGTCTTATTTAACTTTTTATTATAATAAAAAAATTCTCATATAAAATTATATCTTAACTCGAATTAACGAATTAAATAGACTGTGAATTTACTGGTATATTGACGTATAAAAAAAAATCCCTTATAATTAATTAAAAAAAAAAGAATATCTTAAGCTCCATTCTTCGGTGGCACGCTTCTCTATAGTCTATTCTACTAAGCGCGAGTGGCGGGGTATGTTATCACTTTTACCAGCCCACATGCTGGTATTACAGCCGTTGACATATTGTAAGATAATTAAAAATAATGGCAATAATTGGACGAAATATACAACATATAAAATGGTAAAAATTTGCCATGATCACCCTTTTTCTTTCATCTTTTGATAAGTTGGCCCATTTGACGTTGGTTGATTATCTTTTGTGAGCCTAAGATTAGGACTTTGGTAAACTTTTTTTTAGGCCTTCTTGTAAAATAATGTATGATTAATTGGAGGGTGGGGGTAGGGGCAAAAAAAAAAAAAAAAGTAAACCATTAAAGGGGTAATTAAATTAAATTAAAAAAAAAACAAAGTGTTCAAGTCTTATCTTTGAGGTGTGGAACATTGGCTTATCAAACACCCACTTAAGTTGGTCTGCCATTGCTAATTCTTAACCAATTAACTTTTGTTTTTCTTCCCCTCCTTTTGATCTTATAATTTTTTTCCCCTTTTGGCGGCCAACTTTGAAGAGAGATGAGATTTGGAAGGCCATAGAAATGGATGGGAGGACCATCTATTGACTTTTGTGGTGTTGGGTAAAACGTTTTGACCCATTTATCATTGTGATATGAAAAATTGGCTACATGAGAGTAAAAAGGCGTATTCCTTTGTGAACAGTCTTAAAATGACCGAGTCTTTGGTAAAGTTGGGTGTGCCACTCCCCAACTTTTGCTTCTAATAAGTGTGCCTACGAATTTCAACCCTCTTATGACCATGTCATGAGAGCTCATAATCAAAACGACTTAATAATAAAAGTATTTTTTGTTTTTTACATTGTATGCGACCCGAACTTTTGGTGGATACACGCATATTTACTCAACTACTTGAGTTAGTCTGAGTGGTTAAAGGAGTTGTTCTTTTGGAGTGTAATTTGAGTGTAGTTTTTGAGTTAAATTTGAGTTATAACTTGAGTTGAAGTTGTAACTTGAATAAAGTTGAGTAAAGTTGAATAAAGTTGAAACTTAAAAGAACGTGAACTTGAATAAAGTTAGAACTCGAGTTGTTTTTTTTTTTTTTTGAGTTTTTTGGACAAAAAACATGCCGTAATTTTTGTTATTTATCTAGTTGTAATGAAATTTTAGACTCACTTTAAGGAGTACTAATGTACTATTCTAATTCTTAAAAGTCATGTATATTAGTCATTTATACCGACGGCAATGTATTGTTCTTTTCTAAGCCGGTTTTCAAATTTACAAACCGGTTTTATGCTTAACCAAGAATATTGCAAACTTGTTGGCTTTTGATACGCACACATTTTTTTAGGGATATACACGAACTATTGTTTTTTTGTTTTTTTTTTTTAAAGTCAATAATTAAGGCATAAAACTTGAAAAAAAAAGGTTAGCACGTGATACATTATACTGACTACATAGGTCGAAATTAACCAAGATTAATGTGCACGAGAGAGGAAGAATTAAGTTGGAACACGTAGACAACTTATAATTCTCATTTTACACGATTTTGGACAATTCATGAACGAGGACACGTTCTTTTGATGTGAGATCATGATATTGACAAACCCTACTCTAATTTATTAATTAAAAGGAAAAAAAAATCAGAATTCGACCACAATACTAAAACTAGCTAGTAATGTTTATATATATGTCAAATATATATATATATATATAAATAGTTAACTTAATAGGTTGAATCATATGAATATGGGTGGCAAATACTATTGATTAGAAGATTGCTAAGTAGTTTTACAACATGCAAAACACGTAAAAGCCACATAAACGTGCACATTTGCTAAATTTTGTAGTTCTATCTATATATACTTGTAATTGCTAGGGTTTTTTCAAAGGAGTATACAGAGGGATATCTAAATCGTGATAGTTCTATTCACACTTGAAATTTGACATTAATTAGTTCCGAGGTTGAATATATGTTTGTATTCACATAATTAACTGTTTGTTATATGCAAACAAAAAAATAATAATAAGAAAAGATCAGTTCTCTCGTAATTTTTTCTTTCCTTCTACAGTACTTCTACTATTTTTTAGAACCAAATACACCGTATGGATTCAATAATCCGTAGTTCCTTTATTAGTCAATATTTTTGTTTGACACGAAAAAATGAGTCAATATTGAAACAAAAAAAATCGTAATAAAACTCCAAAGTACCAATAGTAGTTGAATTTAGAAAATTTAAGCTGGCTGTTTCTTATGAAAAACGCAAAATTAATGAATATCTGTACTTTTTTTTTTTTGACCCGGAAGGAGATATTTCTAATTTACTAGTATTTGTGTCAATTTTTACGTATGTTAAGAATTCTGAGGATTGATAACAACATATATAGAGTCGGACTCGATATGCTAAGAGATGCTCATTCCAATACCGATAGTCTATTCTCTTAAGGATAAATTATATTAATGTACTCTGACCCGTTTATTTTACCGATTTGAATTTAAAATTTGAGTTTTGTTACAGTAAAAAGTTCTCAGAAACAGTCACATCTAATTTTTTTTGTTATAGTATAAAAGCTCTTATATAAAGTCACATCTCAACTCGAATTAAAGTTTTTGTCATTCTCATGTCACACCCTAAACTTTAGCATTTTATTTCTTAAATTTTACAATCTTTAATAATGCAGTCCAATTAATAATAGACGTCAATTATATTGTTAGACGACAATTAGATTTAAAATATCAAAATATAAGAAGTTCATTGTCCAACTTGCCAACTAACAAAAAGTTTGAGGGTGAATTTGTGTAGATATTTTGTGCAATTTCCGTCCAATAATCAACATATGTTAGCTATTGGAACATTATTGTAACAAATTTTTAAATTTAAGGTCCTATTTGATAAAAATAAAAATTCAGGATCCAAATTGCCAAACATTAATAGGTCGACATGCACCAATGAATTCATCCTTGCTTTATTGTTTTACAAGTAAGAAAAGAAATGCAAGGTAGAACTAATACGATACATACAAAAATTTTGAGATGTATATGCATCTTATTTTTCAGTTATCAGATGATTAAAAAAACAATCAAAATTATTAAATTGAGCTGTCAACTACTGCTTAATGAACGCTTCAAATATTTTAGTGAACAACTCATTTAATAATTGAGATTTAGATTGCATATGCATCCTGAAAACAAGATGTTTTTTTTTAATCCTTATTCTAATAGATATGCTCTAAAAATAAACAAATTTGGCTGTTAAATGTTGTTACCAAACTTATGATTTTATCCACTTAATATATCTTTTTAACTATTATTGTATCCAATGAAAATTGCCCATGTAATTTGCTGTTATTCTGGATTCAAGCTAAAAGACAAAGCTGAGTAACAGTGATCTTTTTAAGGCTTTGAAAAGCGCGTGATGGCACGCGCTGTTCAGAGGGTTCTGGATTTGCTTTCCTCATATTCTTAACCGGAACAGAAGAGAAATAAAATTCTAAAAAAAAAAAAAAAAAAGTGAGAGAAATAAAATTCTACCACAAAAAAGAAGAGAGATAAATAAAAGAAAAAGAGATTAATTTAAATTAAAATGTGATTTTATGTGAGAATTTTTTTATTATAATAAAAAAATTAAATATAATTTTTAATAAGAATTTTTAATTATATTAAAATTAAAATTAAAAATTTAAATCAGTAAAATAAACGAATTCTAAAAACATATTTAGTTTATCAATTTGAATTGAAATAATTTTTAATAATTTTTTATTATAATAAAATTTAAATTTTAAATTTAAAATCGATAAAATTAACGGAGTTACGTGTCGCGGTAAAAAAAACTACCCAGTGAAAAATAATAAAAGCAGCGACAGCAGCAAAAGCTACAGGGAGAGAGAGAGAGAGAGAGAGAGAGAGAGAGAGAGAGAGAGAGCGAGAGAGAGAGAGAGAGAGAGAGAGGGAGAGAGAGAGAGAGAGAGAGAGAGAGTGAGAGAGAGAGAGAGAGAGGAAAGTAAAAGGAAAAAGAGAAAATGATGTGAAAACGAGAAATGCTGGTTTTATACTTGAGGACTTCTGTTCCACTTTGTCGCTCGCCTTGTGTCTTGGTATTTTTGTAAGCTTTCCTCTAATAAGCAATTCCCATCCCAACAAACACAGCAATCAGCCAAAAAAGAAACAAAAAAAAACTTTCCCTTTGAGATCGTTTGTGTTTGTGTATACACATATATGTATATATGTATCTATCTTTATCTAGCATATTATCTTGTTTGATCGCCAACATCTCCTCAGAAGATCATCACAATTCAACATCTCCAGAATTCTTCACGTTCATGGCATGACTTATTAGCTTATCATTCTCCTCTCGTTGAGTTCTCCATTTTTCAATCGCAACACATCAACACAAAACAAAACCAAAAAAAAAAAAAAAACAGAAGGAAAGAAAGTTTTGCTCTTTCGGTTTTTCTAAGCTTGATGTGGTTATTATTATTGATCGCCACAAGGCTACTATCTTCTCCACTAGCAACCAAGACTTTCTAAGGGGGTAATGAAAATAATTAAACAAGCAAAATCTCTCTCTCAAGTTTTATTATTATTTTTCCATGGAAAAAATTTGAATATGTCTTAATGTTGTTTTTTTTTTTTTTTTTTTTTTTTTTTTTTTTTTTTGGAGGGGGGGGGTGGGGGGGCGGGTGAAAGTGAAAGAAAAAAATAATAATGATGGCGGTGACTGCTGGATCGGGGTGCAAGGAGGGAGGAAGCAAGAGTAGTAGTATAGCAATGGACAATGGAAAGTACGTAAGATATACGCCTGAGCAGGTGGAGGCATTAGAAAGGCTTTACCATGATTGTCCAAAGCCCAGTTCCATGCGCCGCCAGCAACTTATCAGGGAATGCCCCATCCTCTCCAATATCGAGCCTAAGCAGATCAAAGTCTGGTTCCAGAACCGAAGGTTCGAGTTTTTTAATGGTCATGTTTCTTAGTTTTGGAAAAAAGGGTCGTAATATTTTTTATTTTTGGTTAATAATAATTAAGATGGTTGGGGGTGTTTTTGCAGATGTAGAGAGAAGCAGAGGAAAGAGGCGTCGAGATTGCAGGCTGTGAACAGGAAACTGTCGGCCATGAATAAGCTTTTGATGGAGGAGAACGACAGGTTGCAGAAGCAAGTCTCGCAGCTTGTCTATGAGAACACCTACTTTCGTCAACAGACTCAGAATGTAATATATTCTATTCTACATTTTTTTTTATAATCTTTTTTCATTCATTTCTTCATCAAATTTCCTGTCTTTTGACCGGACCTTACTCCGCCAAAATGCATAGAGTTCAAATCATCCCACTCCGAGAAAAAAAAAAAAGTTCCAGTCATTTTGGTTAATTAAGTCATAATAAGTATTAACTACGAAATGGGTTAAATCAGCTTAACAAAATCAATCTTCTTCTGTGTAAAAAACAAATTATTTTTAAAACTGTCCGTTTTCATCAAATTTTTTATCACCGAATTATCCTTTTCAATGTTTCATCAAATTTAGTGTCACGTAGAGTTATTTAAATTGATCTATCAAAAGTAACTTCCGTTTTCATCAAATTTTTTATCACCGAATTACCCTTTTCAATGTTTCATCAAATTTAATGTCACATAGAGTTATTTAAATTGATCTATCAAAAGTAACTATGACATATATATATATATGTATATTGAGTTATGGGATATTGAGATAGTGGCTTTGTTGCATTGCAGGCGCCCCTTGCTACGACAGACACAAGTTGTGAATCGGTAGTGACAAGTGGTCAACACCATTTGACTCCTCAGCATCCACCAAGGGATGCCAGCCCTGCAGGGTTGGTGATTTTTTTTTTCTCTCTTTTTGGTTATACTTCTTGATGCGTCCTTTTCATTCCTTGTTGTGCATCAGAAATCAATTGCCATTGTCCTTGTTTTTGTCTTTTGATGTTGTCTTATTTTTACCAATGGCTAAACGAGATTGATTGCTCTCTTTGTTGTTTTTCTATAGACTTCTGTCCATTGCAGAGGAAACTTTAGCAGAGTTTCTTTCAAAGGCCACTGGAACTGCTGTGGAGTGGGTCCAAATGCCTGGGATGAAGGTCACTCCTCTCTCTCTCTCTCTCTCTCTCTCTCTCTCTCTCTCTCTCTCCCTCTCTCTCTCTCTCTCTCTCTCTCTCTCCCCCCTTGGCATTATTTCATTGTCTTGAAACACTATTCATTGCTCTTCGTTAATTTCATTGTCTTGAAACACTATTCACCCCCTTGGCATTATTTCATTGTCTTGAAACACTATTCATTGCTCTTCGTTAATTTCATTGTCTTGAAACACTATTCATTGCTCTTCGTTATTATCGAGACATTTATTGAAGGACAGTAACTTTGCTAATCTGCTAAGCAACATGCACAGACAAGATATCATTTCTATACAATTGTTTTTTCCTCCCCTAAATCGCAGCCACTTAAAAATTCTAATTGTTCTCTATTTTTTTATTTTTTTTTTGTGTGTGTGTGTATCATAATCTTATTTCTTGGTTTTGTTGGTGGCAATGAGAACTTGGATTAATCTCATCTTTACGTCCTGAATTATAAGCAAAATCCTTGCACCGCTGAGATTTTAATAGTCGAATGAATGAAACAACTAATTTGTCATAATTTGGTAAATCGAAGACTCGTTTTAAGACGTTTTAAAAGTTGAGATTTATCATAATTTGGTAAATTGAAGACTTGTTTTAAGACATTTTAAAAATTAAGGATCAAAATGAGATTTGACTTATATTAGCGACTAGAGACAAGATTATTACAACTTTGTTCTCTTCGCTTTATTTTACATCACTATTTATAATTTGTAACATTCCATCATGAAAGTACAAACATTCAAGCATCAGGATCTTTTTTCCTGGTACAGATCAAAACAATCATTTTATAGCTTCAGTTTGTTCCTTTTCTTGACATTCAATTTGAGAATTGTTCTGATACAAAGTAGTCTTGCAATTCTCTCTTATTATGCTGACATAAAAAGTACAAACATATATGTGCAGCCTGGTCCGGATTCCATAGGAATCGTTGCTATTTCTCACGGTTGCACTGGTGTGGCAGCACGTGCATGCGGCCTTGTGGGTTTAGAACCTACAAGAGTAAGTTCTATCAACTTGGTTATGATTTGTGCTACTTTTGGTTGAGTTCTTTTTTTTTTTTTTTTTTTTTTTAATCAATGATGTCCTCTGTAGGTCGCTGAAATCCTCAAAGATCGGCCTTCATGGTTCCGTGATTGCCGAGCTGTGGATGTCATAAACATGTTGTCCACCGGAAATGGTGGAACCATTGAACTGCTTTACATGCAGGTAAGCTATTATTTGTTCTATGGTGGTTACTCACACTCGAAAAAATTGCGATTAATAGTGTGTTGTGTTGAGTGTACCTTCTTACAAAGTTCTGCATTTTCCTTTTGGCTTGAATTAGCTCTATGCACCGACTACCTTGGCACCTGCTCGCGATTTCTGGTTGTTGCGCTACACTTCTGTTTTGGAAGATGGTAGTCTTGTGGTATGTAATATGCATAACTCATGAGTGTTTTGATTCTGTTGTCAATTTTTCTGCTGTAGTATCGTTTCCAGTCCTGCCTTGTTGCCTTTCAAGCTTATTTTTAGGACCATTGTGATTGTGATTTTGTGAAAGGTTTGTGAAAGATCATTGAACAACACTCAGAATGGTCCGAGCATGCCACCGGTGCAGAATTTCGTTAGAGCAGAGATGCTCTCAAGTGGGTATCTCATACGGCCTTGTGAAGGTGGTGGATCAATCATTCATGTAGTCGATCACATTGACTTGGAGGTACATGATTGCTTTTCTTTTTCTTTGTATATCCGAAACAAAATTAGCGCATTAGCTTGTTATATTTACTAGATTTGCTTGATCTGATTTCCCAAACTAGCCGTGGAGCGTGCCTGAAGTTTTGCGCCCACTTTACAAGTCGTCAACCTTGCTTGCCCAGAAGACAACTACAGCTGTAAGAATACTGTTCTCCACTCAATATTTTGTTAGTGACATTCTCTTATCTTCTTATTTGAAGCTCATTCATCAGAATGCTAATTTTGCAAGCTGCGAAAATTCCTCCCCTTGGAGCAAGCATTAGTTAAATCTTTATTATATGCTGACTAAAAGAGTAGTGCCCCGTGTCTGCGTTGCGTGGGAGGGAGAGGTCTTGTGTAAAAATATTTTGTGGAAAACAGAGAGGCAGTAATGCCAAAACATACCAACTATTAATTAAGAAAACTAAGCACGATATCTCAGCTATGATAGAATAAGGTTGGAATTTCAGGATTTTAAACTCTAATGCAGACTCATCTTTTGCAAACAGGCTTTACGCCATCTGAGGCAGATTTCTCAAGAAGTTTCTCAACCGAATGCCACTGGATGGGGAAGAAGACCTGCAGCCCTGCGTGCGCTGAGTCAGAAACTAAGCAAGTGCGTTCATATTAAACTTTCATATGGTTTCTTGAAACAATTTGTTGATTTTTTTTATGCTCAACTTTATACATTTCATGATGTAGGGGTTTCAATGAAGCGGTCAATGGATTTACAGACGAAGGATGGACTATGTTAGAAAGTGATGGCATTGATGATGTTACCCTTCTTGTAAACTCGTCGCCAAGCAAGATGATGGGAATGAATCTTCCTTATGCCAATGGATTCCCATCCGCAAGCAACTCGGTGTTATGTGCCAAAGCATCCATGTTGTTGCAGGTAAAGTTTAAACTTTAAAGTGTGTTTAGGCGAGTAAGGCCAGCCATACTACTTAAGTAAGTAAACATGTTCTTTATTCTTTCTGTTCTTTTGTTCTTGTAGAATGTGCCACCTGCAATACTTCTAAGATTCCTGCGAGAGCACCGGTCAGAGTGGGCGGACAGCAACATCGATGCTTACTCAGCTGCTGCCATTAAAGCTGTTCCGTGTAGCTTGCCGGTACCTAGAGCTGGAAGTTTTGGTGGTCAGGTTATTCTTCCACTGGCTTACACAATTGAGCATGAAGAGGTGAGAAAAATTATTAAGGGAATGTTGCCATCAAATTTCTGAATGTTATCTACCCTTTTCTTAAGCTCATTCAAGTAGGAAAAAACTTCCAATGCTGGCTTATCTTTAACAGTTCTGCTATTTGTAACAGTTCATGGAGGTCATTAAGCTTGAGAATATGGGCCACTATCAAGATGATATGATAATGCCAGTTGACATTTTCCTCTTGCAAGTAAGTTTATTCCTTCTTTGATCAGAGAATATACTTGAATCTTACATTTATTCTGAGCAGAAAATGTTATGTTCCTTTACAAATAGGCCTTTATTTTTTTCTAGTCATTTTAATCTCTTTTTCCTTATTATCTTTTCTCCACAGCTTTGTAGTGGAGTGGATGAGAATGCCGTTGGTACCTGTGCCGAACTCATCTTTGCTCCAATTGATGCTTCCTTTTCTGATGATGCACCTATTCTACCTTCGGGATTCCGCATCATTCCTCTAGATTCTGGGGTGGTAAGCCTTTAAACACATATGACACAACAACATAATCTGCTTTTCTCTTAAGGCTTTCCTTCCTGTCTTTGTTTGAGAAACGAATTTCTTGACTACAACATTAAATAACATGCAGGACGCCCCCAGTCCGAACCGCACACTCGATCTTGCGTCTGCTCTTGAAGTTGGCCACACAGGAAACAGGACATCTGGTGATAATGCTGGCAACTCTGGGAACAGAAAGTCTGTGATGACAATAGCATTCCAGTTTGCATTCGAAATGCACCTTCAAGAAAGTGTTGCTGCTATGGCTCGCCAGTATGTTCGGAGTATCATAGCCTCAGTTCAGAGAGTGGCACTCGCTCTCTCCCCTTCTGGCTTTGGCTCCAACGTCGGTCTCAGGCCGCCACCTGGCACTCCTGAAGCACAGACGCTCGCTCGTTGGATTTGTCAAAGCTATAGGTGAGTCACATGAGCTGTTCTCTCCTAAGTACCTATTTATTATTTTTGTGTATGCAATACACCGATGGTCTAAGAGTGTAGTAAGGTCATAACCAAGTTATGATAGTATAAATTTATGCATGAATAATATGAAACATATAGTCAGCTATTTGCTCCTGAAATTGAGCGACTGAGTTATGCCATTGTTTGCTTTTGATCTTTTTAGGTGCTATCTTGGGGTGGAACTACTTAAAAATGAAGGAAGCGAATCCATTCTCAAGTCCCTGTGGCATCACTCAGATGCAGTTCTGTGCTGCTCCTTGAAGGTATATGCTTAACCCCTTTCCTAAGAATTCCTTCATTTGCCCACGCTCATGGGCAGGGACGGAGCCAGCATGGTTCCGGGGAGCTATTTTCCTTTATCTTTATTTATTTATTTATTTATAATTTTGTTCCCCTAAATTTTCTAATTTTAAACTTTATGAGAGAATGTTTGAAAAGTTTCGTCTGCACTCTTAAATTTTACTTTTAGTTTTATCCTATTATTCTATTATTTGCTTGAATTCATTATCTCAAATTTTAAAACTCAAATAAAGAAAAAAATATATTATCATGAAGTTTTTAGTATTTATTATGTTGTTTTTTTTTTATTATAGGAAATAGTATTTATTACACTGTTAATTAAGTTCCACATTTTGTTTCATGTCATGATCCTGAAAAAAAAAAAAAATAAATAAATTCTAACTCTGTCGCTGCTCAAGAAAAAAAAAAGTTTAATTTAGTTCAAAATTTTGTTTCATGTCATGTACTTTCTTGCCAATGTTCTCACCTATAATCTATTACATTATGGCTTCTGCAGGCATTGCCCGTTTTTACATTTGCAAACCAAGCGGGACTGGACATGCTGGAGACGACCTTGGTCGCGCTTCAAGACATTACACTGGAGAAGATTTTCGACGACAATGGAAGAAAGACCCTTTGCTCTGAGTTCCCTCAGATAATGCAGCAGGTATATATATTAGTACAAATTTATAATCCGTCTAAAGACAGGATACATCATAGTAGATAAGGGAAAGTTCCATTGGTAGATAAACGGAATTCAAGCAATAGGGTATGATTTGTTTTACTCACAACAGCTAGAATTTAGAAGATTTGGAAAGCAATGTTAAAGAAAATATTACAATGCAGTTATCTGGAAGCACAAATGGAACTTAAAACTTCTATCTTAGAAAGATCAACCTGTTAAGTGGAGTGTCTTAAGATTTTTAGAAGTTACGATTTCCATTTATATTTAAACGATGTGGGACTCGGGTTTGTTTTACCTTTACCTACACAACTTAATAATGATATACAATGTCAAATTGAAGCAAGAGATGATAATGTATCAAGCAAGACAAATTAAAAAGACTTGCAAGTACGATACTGATCACACATGTTTTGCTTCTTTGTGGTTTAGGGTTTCATGTGTCTTCAAGGCGGAATCTGCATGTCGAGCATGGGAAGGCCGATTTCATATGAGAGAGCAGTGGCTTGGAAGGTCTTGAACGAAGAAGAAAGTGCTCACTGCATCTGCTTCATGTTCATTAACTGGTCTTTTGTATGAAATTACTAGAACTTAGCTTCAGTTACCAAAGTCTGCTAGGTTAGATTAGGCCAGTATTTTTTTTTCCACTTTTTTTTTTTTTTTTTTTGGGTTAATTTGGTATGGACAAACCTGTAGCACTTGGATATGCATCATTTGAATGCATTGGAGCCCCATTTTTTGTTCTTTTACTCGTTCCTTTCAGTTCTATTTATATATACATAGTTTATATGACTTGTTACTTGTTATGTTTTCTATTCTTAGAGGTCAACAAAATACAAATATGATTTTATACAAGGCACGTTTCTGACTCACTGGCCACGAAAAGCAGTATTATACTTTGAACTATAGGCTTTTTAACGTATAATTCTATTTGGTCTTCCTCAGAATGTATTCTACCCCAAGTTGTGGTAGTGGAAAATAATCCTTTTCTAAATGACTTATTCTTTGACGGTGACGTAGAAGGGAACAATGACATTTAGATAATTAAACGACGACGTAATTCCAATTTACGCAGAGCGCGAGTGTTAATAAGATCAAAGTACTTGAGGTCCTAGTGCATAGCGAATGATCATATCGATCGGAAAGAAATAATGAAAAGGTAGAACGACCAATAAACATCAGAAAGACTGGTTTTTAAATTAGCATGCGTTGCTAATTCTAATCTAAGGGCTAAGGTTGGGCCGTTTGTGAATCAACGGTCAAGGTTAATAGGTTTAACCCGTAATCCGTATTCCAAGAAAATTTTCACACTTCCTAGCAATTAAGGAAAGGAAAAAAAAAACCAACAAAAAACTTCATCATCTTATTCTCATGCTGAAAAACAGCCTCTTAAGTTTTTTATACTCACGGAAGTTCTTAAGCATTTGACAGATTGGATTATATATACATATATGTATGTATGCATTGATTAATCATAAATAAGAGGCTTTAGTACTTACACTTCTAAGTTGTTTGTACGTTTATATTTTGAAATGTCTCTCAATAGGTTATTAAAAATGAGACATGTTAAGGAGTTATTTATTATCACGACGTAAACATCATAAAATGCTCTCAATTGCTACGTGAAATTGCTTAAATTCTTCTATAGCATTGTGAGGTTTAGTGTGGGATAGGTTTCTCAAGCCTAAAAAAAAAAAAAAGAAAAAAAAATGAATGTGTAATAATGAGACCACATTAAAACATGCAGTGGTATTATATCCAATAAGCAGCGACATCTGAAGAACCTATTTACAGATTCAAATTCTTTTTCTATGTAGTATCTTAATATTTATGCAGTCTAATATCATCTTAAATTTCTAAAAATATAATTAGTCAACCAGTTTAATATTTCATAAGCTTATCAATATTACTCTCATAATTTAGAATTTTAGGATGGCGAAATTGAGACACAACATATATTTGAACTTGGAATTCGTAGGAGTCGAGACTTGGTTAACCTCCTTTGTCTGATTTTATCTGAATATGGTTTTTCACATTACTCAGTATATGTGCATATAGTGATAGAATCCGATAATTAAATTGCAAAGAAATTGTGTCTGGTTAATAGAATTAGTTGTGATATTGTTTGATGCATGCAATTTTTGAAACCTTGATAGTTTTTGGATTTGGCTTACAACAGTACTGTGCCTTTCGGGTCTCCTTTATAATATGTTGTCATCTCAATTACAATATTTTAAGTGGTATGATTTTAATTGATATTAACATAATTAATATTTCTATTAAAATGACATTTTATCAATTGACCTCACATGATATTATAAGAGAGATTTTAAAAAGTATGGAACACGAGAACACGATAGTCAAATTCATCAGTTCGATCGTGGCAAATGCCACCTAATTTTCCAACCAATTTTGGACTTTTGAAAATTCTATGGTGCAGATAATCATAATCCTCTCATTCACGACCTAAGTTTCACTATTCCAGTACTGCAGGCCCCTTATACCCACCACATAAATAAACATTGTCAATTTTAAGATTGGAACTCTTATTTGAAAGGACGTGGAAAATCGAACCTTGATCATAATTCTATCAGTTGAACAGGGAATTTAATGAGGAAATATAGACCCAGAGAAGACGGAAATGAGGAAAATGAAAAAGCATAAAAAGCTTTTGGACGTACAAATGTTTTGTTTTTGTGAAAATACGTACAAATGTTTTTCAGCGCTAGCCATTTTCTAGCTTTTGACTGGCTCTACGTACACGGTACATGCACCACCTTTCTTGAATCAATAAAGACAATCAATCAGTTCCAAGAATCAATTGGTTATTTCAACGAGTTTGTTGTTTTGTGTTACATCTTATATGTACTTCAGACGATCAGCCTTAAATTGATACATTCCACAAGGTTATTATGATCTATGTTACGTTTTTTCGCTCTTGGTTTATTGATCTTATGCAAATATACCTTATTTTCTTTTTCTAGAGCTAGCTAGCTATAACTAGATTAGGGGTGGCCGTACGTTAATTCGCTTTAATCATTGAATGATCACTTCATGAAATAGAATAATCTTGAAAAGTTATATTGAAATAATAAGCTAATTTGAGTAAACAAGGTTCAATTAATCAAGAAAAATTGGAAAAAATAAAATAAAATAAAAGCAATCTCATGAGCTTGATAATTAGATTTTAGAGTACTGTTTGGTATGGGTAGGGAATCTCATGATGAAGACAGAAGACCCATATTCCTCGCTAACCAAATTCTCATTTTCAATGGAATTCTATATATTATATCAGTCGTCATATATAAAGCCATATTTTAAATTTCTCTCTAAAGATCAGATCGAGGTGACCAATGACAAACATAACTTGTACTACACAAATGGAACCGGTTACAACATTGATCATTCCTTTTGTTTTCCTCTTTAATAAAGATAAAAGGGAATATTCTTCCTTATTCTGGTAAGCACATAGACCATCAGATTCAATAAATTTCTTTAAATGTCCATTCAGAAAATCGCTCATCTTTATCTTAAACCATGTTGATTTTTGTCTAATTCTCATCGATCCAGTAATGAAGCGAGCATATATATATATATATATGTGTGTGTGTGTGTATGTATGTATGTACGTACTTCTGTTATTTTAAAATTTTGGCATGCGTGATCTAATCACTAATGGGATAAAAATATGAAATAGAAATGATGTTCTCTCTCTCACACACAAATGTTATAACTCAAAATAACTGTACGTGCATGATTGTATAGTCGTATATTTCCTTTGGCAACTTTTTTTTTTTTTTTTAATTTTTTTATAAGGGGTTTTAGCACAATTGCCTTCTGAACTTAGCGTAGTTTAGCAAATTGCCTCTCAAACTTTCAATTTTGACAATAAACTCCCTGAACTTGTAAAATTATTGCAATGGGATAAAAATATGAAATAGAAATGATGTTCTCTCTCTCACACACAAATGTTATAACTCAAAATAACTGTACGTGCATGATTGTATAGTCGTATATTTCCTTTGGCAACTTTTTTTTTTTTTTTTAAATTTTTTTATAAGGGGTTTTAGCACAATTGCCTTCTGAACTTAGCGTAGTTTAGCAAATTGCCTCCCAAACTTTCAATTTTGACAATAAACTCCCTGAACTTGTAAAATTATTGCAATATGCTCTATTTTACTAAATTTGCTCAAATGTTTTATTAAATTTAAGAGACTAAAAGTTAAAGAATCAAAAAATTTATGTTATATTTGAATTGGGATGTTAGAATTTTTCGTCGGACATGTTTTTTCGACACTAATTTAACACAACCATTGTCAAAATAGTGCATATTATAACAATTTTACAACTTAATGAACAATGTGCCAAAATTAAAAGTTTAGTGGTCAAATTGCTAAAGTCATACAAGTTGAGAAAAGTAAATGTGTAAAATATCCTTTTAAAATTTAGGATGAAGAAAAAGTCACTTTTTCAGTAACAGTTGTTCCATATATTTAGGACATTAAGAAGCCTAACAATACAAACATAATGACTACTTGGGGAGATGTTTTACATGGCCCTCAACACATGTTTTTTCGACACTAATTTAACACAACCATTGTCAAAATAGTGCATATTATAACAATTTTACAACTTAATGAACAATGTGCCAAAATTAAAAGTTTAGTGGTCAAATTGCTAAAGTCATACAAGTTAAGAAGAGTAAATGTGTAAAATATCCTTTTAAAATTTAGGACGAAGAAAAAGTCACTTTTTCAGTAACAGTTGTTCCATATATTTAGGACATTAAGAAGCCTAACAATACAAACATAATGACTACTTGGGGAGATGTTTTACATGGCCCTCAACGAGCTACTACCAAAATTAATGATGGGATGTTTATATATTTATACCAGTTTTAGGTTTATTCAAAATTTATATTTTCAATTTTTAATCTTATTAAATGTATACCTTCGAATTAGATTTAATATACAAATATGTAGCTTATCTCAATCAATAATTGAGTTTGGCCTTTAAAATGACCAAAGTATCCTTAAGAAAAAAGAAAAAAGAAAACTAAAACTTTTCAATATTATAAAAAAATAAAAAATAAAAACACAAAAAAAACACGATTTCAATTATATTTTGCATATTTTTAAGGTTAAAACATAAGTTTATACTTTTTTTTAGTTTTCTCTTCTTTTACTATCTTTTTATTTAAGGGTATTTTAGGTATTTTTAAAGTTAAAATCGAGAGTTAATTGAGTAAAGGTACAAATTTAGATATTAAATTTAATTTGAAGATATACATTTGACGAGATAAAAAATTAAAGATATAATTTTTGAATAAATCAAAAAAATAAGATATAGAAAGGTAAATATCCCATTAATGATTGCTCTAGAATACTCTGCTACCCATCATTGAATAGTAAAGATCTTAACGGCGTTTTCTAAAAGTCCAAAAAAAAAAAAAAAATGGCCGGTCCTTTTTTTCTTTTTCTTTTTCTTTTTGTTAATTTCATATCAAATTCAACTTTATATTAGAGTGCCATGTTATGTCTTTTTGTTTGGAGGGGATGCCATGCCATTTGAAAATTTCTACATGAAAAGCCTATGTCAATTTTCATATTCATGACTTCCGTTATGATTATCATGCCAGATCCAGATTTTAGTATGTACATGCTCGAATCAACAGATATACAATAATTATTCTTCATATAAGCATTATAACATTATATCATTAGATTTCTAACAAATTTTTCTTTT